TAAATGCCTAGTATGAATGAATGAATGAATGAAAATCCTTATGTATTGAGGCGAACTTAGGTCCTCTCTTGCAGTTAACCTAGTTTCTAGTAATCTGATTTGCAAAAAAAAGGAATACATTCGTGGTATATTTGGTATGCAAACCAACACAACTGCATTATGCGGGCCTGGGACGTAAGCCTGCGACAACTTAAGGCCTTCATGATAAATGTTCCGGCTGGATAAAGTCGTCGCATCTGCTCAGCTAAGAACTGCGGGTGTATCGTTATATTTTGAACAATGTTGAGCAATTTACGGTTGAATAAAGAACAAATAAATTAAATACCTAAATTAACTGTGACACATTCGATTTTTTTAACTATTGTGGAGTAAAGTCTTTAAAAAAATGATGCAAGTTATTTATTGAATGTAACCGATTTTAGGTTATCGGGTAGCAATCTTAAAGCTGTTCTTCTGGAAATGTTATGGGCTTTGTATAAAGAAGAAATAGGAAACATTTAAGTCAATATCTACTTTTGTCGTAATCAATTATTGATCCAACGTTAAAAGTCTCTCCAAGCATTTATTACAACCACATTTTCCCTAAATTTATAAAATTTATAGTTTAAAATTACATACGTAATTTTTCTACAATATTACAAGGAAGTGTGGTTTCTATATGTGTTTGATTCGATTGATCTTTAATACTTTACTTTAATACTTTTCATTGAAATGGTGACCATACAAAGTAGGTATTATAAGCCAAGATCGCACAAACGATTGGGCTGAAACGTATATCATGATAGTCCAATACTTTATCTACAGTAGATTTGACGAAGAACAAACACAGTATTTATTTTTTGATCTTTGACAGCTAATCAAAGCATTGTCAACTTAGTTCAATAAAATTATTTGATTTGAAATAAGCATAATATTATTTTCTGCGACAAGAGTTTCCCTCACACAAAACTATAGTTTCTCGATTAAATTGAATTAAGTAAGTTATACAAATGTACTAAAATCAAAAGGGATTCTTTATTTAAAACGCTGGACCCAAATATATGAATTCACAACGTATTTTGTAAACGATCGAAAATAATGAACAAGGAAGCAGTAAAATTCAGAAGGATAAAATTATATTCTCAAGGATTTAAAATTATATTTTACAATTCCGATCCCAGGTAGCTCACAAATTGTCAGCAAGTCGATGACATAATTTCACAATTTGTCCAGAGTTTACTATCAGTGTGTATATAACAATACAGTTTTTATCAGAAAAGTTGACGACATTGTTGACATTGTACTCAGCCGTGGGGAATTGCTCGTTTGTTTACTCTAAAACTTATAATTAACGTCCAGCACAACTGCCCACTTCAAACTTTTGCTAGCGATATTTTACCATGAGATGGAAGTTTTAATTGTGTTACAAGTGACTGTTGGCGTTGTTCAATTATGTTATGCTTAATTTTGATTATTTATTATAACTAAACCAGTATGTATACTATTGTAACCGTAATTGTATATTTCATTACAAGTTCCGAAAGTGGTGTTTTTCGGTACGTGCTCAAATCTTAATGTGCGAGGCAAAGTAGAACACACTCGAACACTAAATTACACGTGTGAGGCGAAGCCAAGGATAAGAGTAATTGGAACACGTGACAGATAATCATTTTTGGTACAAGTTATTAACGATACATTTCATTACCACGCAATTATAACTATTTTGCGATTCAATTGTTGAACAATGAAAACAGATTAATATTATAAAGATAATTGCGATGGAAAACTGATTGATACTTGATAGCAATAGAAAGTAAATTTAGAGCAAGGGGAAAACAGCTGATCATTTTTTTCTTGCTCTGAATTAGAGGTTGGACATTTTTTTCAGCTGTTATCCAAAATACCTACTTCCTGTACGGAGTTATGAAAAATATATATCTTCTACCTTTATGAAGCTAAGTTTTAAAATCTCCTTGCTAACCTGGAGTCAAATGAGGAATAATCCTGCAGTGCTAAAAAAATACTGATTACTACTCATTTACCGTATTAAAAATAACGCGCACCTTAAAAACAATAAATTGTAATGTAATTGCACCTTCGACCCTTCGGTTTACCTCTGTGGATTTTTTCTTTGCACCCAGCAAATATATTTACGTAAACAAAAGATAAAAAATGTGCAGTCACTATGTAGTGACTGTTTGTGATTTTCAATATCATGACAATTTAAGATCCATTTGATTTACACAAAGTCAACCCCTTATACACCAATATAGTTCCTTTTGAAACACACAAAAACGAATTGAATTTCAGCTCAGTTCTTATCGTATAATTCAATATAGTTTGTGAAATCGAGGCTTAAACATGAACATGGAAAGAGCATCCCGTTTGGTTGGTATTCGTGAACATGGACATTCCATTGTTGCTGGTTCAATATTGTTTATTCTGTGAACTCTGTTATCTTCGCTGACGAAATCAATCTATCACAGTTATGTTTCAGTAGTGGAAGATTTTAAAAACCATATGATTGAACAAGTTGCCCTATACAGGAACAAAACTATTTTAATCGTTTAATTCGTTGATTAACTGTACAAGTTACATTTTTAAACATAAGAATAACATGTGATCGTCTATTGTTTCTTTAAACAGAAGAATTAAGTACGATTCGACTTGAGTTTAGACTTCAATGATATCTCATTGAACTAAAAAATCTATACCAATCAATATGTTTGGACCGTTTTCCCAAAAAGCTTTTGCATAACACACACACACTCCTCTCATATCTGAAAATGCCACCGGTGTAGACAAGAAAAAAATTCTGGCAAGAGAAAGTGAAGAAAGCTTTAAAAAAATACATATTGAAAAACTCAACTTATATTTCACTGCCTAAAGAGAATGATGAAGGTTTCGTCAATCCTTTGACAAGAAACTCAAACCACACAAAAATTTAGTTGCAAACCTAACAAAGGGAGGTAATTATAAGTTAAAACAAACAAGGTTCGCCACCTCTGTAGGCGGGCTTTGACGCTCTGTGTGCCTTTCATATCGTACGTGAAAGGCACACAGGTGTTTACAGAAACATGGGAAACCCTTCTTGGTGTATAACACAAATAGTGACTCCTTCCGTTTTTACCCGGGTACTTTATATTACGGCTGGGTAGCTGAGAGGTTAAAGTGCTCACCAATGCTAATCAAAAGGTAGCCGGATCGAGCCTGAGAAAAGTCATCCAGCTGTCCCCGATAATTTCGGGCTTTAAATAAATAATCCTGGCTAATGAAACAGCTGATCTTAGTCAGCAACAATGCTACAAAGATTGTCTCACAACATTCTACACTCTTCCTTCACTCATGCTAGAGTTAAAATACGCACCTTGGCGGGTGTCTTCATCGGAATCAATAATGGTATAATTCTCGCCTTAATAATTAGAGGAAGTCGTCTCAGGAGAGAAAATTATAAGCCTTTTGTTAGTTCGTAACTGGATACAGCTGGTTTTAATAATTGGGATAACAAATGGTTCTGGCTATAGAAACAGCTGATCGATGCGGACAACTCATTTATTTGACTCTTCCGGTCCCCGCTTGACGATAAAATAGATTTTATTTTAAGTTTTATTTAAAGTGCTGTGTATCAGTGTCGTACAACACCTATCTAATCCAAACATGATAAAATTTAGTGCGCAGTTAAATGTAAAATGTAAATTACACGATCATAAGTTCCCCAAATATAGGAATGATATTAATACAAAACTTACTAGTACAAAACAGTGGCAGGATTATCATTAATTTGTAGGAATATTTTATTCAAGAAAAATCTACATAGCCTCTTCCAGGCAGCTGCGCCTGAAATTAGGAAGGTAGGCAATAGCCGCAGTACACAGCTGTAGCTATATTGAGGGCCGCGCCGTGATACTTTAGTGAGGCAACACAGCACTAGCACGCCGACTGTGTAATAGAGGGGAAATAGTCCAGTATATAAGATATCAATGCACACACCATGTTCCAATATAATTTTATAGTTTACTCTGTCAAATTAACAGTTAAGTTTTAAAGGCCTTGTTACACACTCACCTTTCTTGCTCTGAAATTAAAGATATGACAGAGAGATTTAAAAGAATACTGACGTTTTGTGACCTACGCTTAGTTACTGTATAACCATGATTATAACCTAACTATCTTAAACAGCTTAAATAAATTTATTATTTATAAATATAGCTATTATTTATTCAACAAAATAAAATTAGTTATCACCGTCAGTATTATTAAAATAACTTAATTATTCAAAAAATATTAGTAGCAAAAATAAAATGTCGAACACACTCACTTTTATTCGTATATAGGTTAAAAATATATACATTGTGTTAATGTACCTTAATGTGTAATGTGCCTTAAATGTATCTCGAATCTTCTAAGACGCTATTATTGACCGTAGACTTTTTTTCTTCACAATGTCAAAATGCTTCAAGGTGTGCAGGACAATTTGTAGTATTTTAATCGGTACGTTACTAAAGTTGTAGCAGTAATAAGGTCATACTACAGAAGTTAAGCAATTCCACATTCATGCATAATTTATGTTCAAAACCTACAACATGTTAGTAGATATACAGTCGATCCTGAAATTACCTTAAATTATATAACAATTTATTAATACTGAAACGATCAAAACGATTTAATCAATTTACAAAGTAAACATTCTATAATAAACAAAATTGTTCTAGAACACCAACGAATTCGGATTTTATGTTATGATAAATGAAATAAAAAACCGTTTGAAGTTTTCATTTAACAAATTTGGAACAACAAAGAGTTTAATATTGCCGCATAAGCTGAAAGCAATAACATTGTCATATGAAAGGTTGGTTTATGAAACAATAACGCAATCATAACTCTGACACTTGTTGAGGAAAATCAATAAGTTTTGATAAGCTGACGCATAGAATGGGTCTACAGTAGTGCGACCAGACTGTACCGGCCCACCAGGACGGGTCCTGACTGTACACGCCGCGCGGTCTGGGTCAGTCGGTGCTGCGCTCTCGTCTTGTTAACATGAACTTCGTGGCCTTTGGTTACCGCGTTAAGCCGACAAATCGTCAAATCCGCGTTAGCATATGTGATTGTGTTTATCTTCAATGAAAACGTGTGTTGGTTTTTAGGTTATAATTGTGGTGTTTAAAAAAATATGTTTTCAGTTTTTTCATTCAATTTAAAACTTTTATTTTATTTGTAACATCACGATTTATTTTAAAATAATTATGAAGTTCCGGTCTTTTAACTCTTTTAGTGAGAAGTAGCTTTAAGTCTGATATTTAATGGCCCTTAACACGACTTTTGTAATATTTTACTAACAGACCAATACCACATTTTATTAGAGTTATTATAATTCTGCCATTAATTATCATTTGTTTATTATATATATATTTGATTATCTTATTAGTATTCAACCAAAACACTTGTATTACTCACTATGGTTACATACTTTAATAGCCTACTTAATACTGTTAGTATATAAATATCGTGATTGCTTGTAAATAAACATACAAAGTTAAAAATTTAAAAAAGGTATTAAATAAATTTTTTATGTTTAGCAACATAATTTACTCTTTGAAAGAGGAAAATAAGTGCAACCCGAGCAAAATCATTAGAAACCCGTTTTATTTTTCATTGATAAAAAATACATCGTTGGCAGACGTGGAGTTATTTGAATATTCCTTTAGGATGCACTCTATCTCGACATAGACATCTCAAACTTGATTTATATTGCTACCTGATTGCAAAGACTTATTTGATTAAAGGAGACCTTTGATAAAAGAATATATTTTACTTTATAATATTGATTTTTGTCAGTTAACAAGTGGCGTTGAAAGATTTTGAATTAAATAAGTCTTCATTATTTCAAATACATAAAATCTACCATTTTGTACTTATTGAAAATCAATCCATGAATTATTTTGGTAGATCCCTTTTATTTATCGTCACAAAGAGGAAACTTCTTTTGGTTTTTCATTATTCTTTTACTAATAGAATTTTCAGTAGCAAACATAATTATCGCGCCAATGTTAACTGTACTAACATATTATGTTCATGGACCTAAGAATAAATTTCGTAAATAAATTTATTCAAATAACATTAGCCTCTTCCCTATTGAGGAAAATTACTAAAACCAATAAAGCATCCTAAAATTCACTTAATGTTTGCTGCTACGAAGTGCCATTGCTTATTTTAGTAAAGTTTTCTATTCATTAAATCGACATCATTAATACAACATTAGTTACAACAATACTCGTTGTCTTTTAGTTTACTTCGTTTCAACTTATTTAATCAGTTTTGTTTTGCAGGTCTAAGTAATTTACGCGTAATTAAGCCTATTTGTTACAGAATGTAAAATAAGATTGCTTCACCTGCTACGACATATCACGAAGTTCTAAATAGCTGATAAGCAAGACCAAGAAACCCACATATCCTATGTAAATGCAAAAGACAGATTGTATGTGAATAGTGTTGTGAAATCATATAGTTTTATCGCTTATACTGTGAACTGTAGTAAGACAATTCTGAAGTTACCTGTGAAATGCATCATGTTGGAAATACTAGTCAGCGTTTCGCATTTCGCTGGTGAGTTTCTTAGTAAATCTGATTATTTTATGTTTCTGACGGAAGTTACCTGTGAAATGCATTATGTGGAAATCTAGTGTATCGTATTTTCGTGAGGGTTAATATACAATTGTTCTCTCAAATGAAGGTAACTAATGAAATGTACCACGTTGATAATGTTATCCAGTGTTGTACAGTTGTTTACGTAAAATTTGTTATATGTTGTTTCTCATGGTAGTGACATGTGGAACGCATAATATGAAACGATTGCTGGTGATTTCCTTTCATGAAAATTTAATATTAAAATATATTTTCTTTGACGAAAATTACATTTAAATGCAAGCTTAAGCTTCGTATTTTACTTGAAATATTTTATACTGATACCGATTGTTTATTGTTTACTGATAAAGGTTACCAATACAATCGACTATGTCAGGAAGTCTTGTCAGCATTTTGTGGAGAGTTGTATATCGTATTCTTCTCTGTCGATTTTGATGGCGATTGCCTATAAAATGTTTACATGGAAAAACAGTACCACCTAGTGCTTCGCATACACAGCTCTTTATTTTGATGGCGACAAATAAAAAAAAAGATCAAGGGGCTATTTTTGCACAAATTATGACCATCTATGAACTATGAAATTCAACGAATACATTGTTATTTGTATGTAAATAAATATTGTTGATTAAGCCGCTTCAACAATTTTAAACAGTGAACATATAACTCCTCATTGGAGGTAAAATTGGAGAAGTAGCACTGGAAAAGTTCATAAGTGGATTGGCGAGTTATTTCATTTTATATAACATGCAAACGAAGAAAAACTGCCGAGTTTCATACGATCTAGTTAAGAATAAACATTGAGTTGTGTAACCCAATTTAAACTTACCTTCCCGTAGTTTATGAACAGTTTTTCCTCAGCCAGTATTATTTTCAGCAGGTTTAAGTATATTTGAAAAATTTTAGATCGTACATTTTGTGACTATAAAGTACAGACTCTGAAGGAAGTTTACATTTTTAATTGTTTTTAAATCTTCTCTCTGTGAGGTATATTATTCACCTACTATAACGAAGAGGGACTAAAAAAGGAAATTCGGGTATGGTACCAAAGCATGTTTCAAAATTGTATTCCTATTTTAAATCAGCTGATTATTATTTGATTTTGTGATTTTTTTTTTACTAATACCGATTATTTGTTGTTTACAAATAAAAGTATCAAAGAAGTCCACTGTGAAAGATTCTAGTCGGCATGTTTCATCTTGCTGAAATTTTAAATAATCAAAACTAAAATTTTCATAATAAAAATTTCTAAAATCGTTTTGTCCTCGGATTCATCTTTTTTTATTTCCTTTCTATCTTGCCTGTGGGATATTTAATATTTTGAAGGGAACGGTCCAAATTGAAAACACAAGAGACAATGAATTGTATAAAAATGTGTCTTCAAAGATAATTTAAGGAGTAAGAAATATAAAAATATAATAATTCAATTTTCGGGGAAGAAAAGTATGCATACCAGCAATAAATATTTTAAACAAATATGAACCTACCGCTTCTCATTGGGAGTAAAACACGAAGGTGACACTGGGAAATCTCAAAACTGGATTAGCAAGTATTAAGTTTCATAAATAATGCAAATTCCGAAAAGAACTGCAAATCTTTAGTTAATATCTAGAAACAAACACTTCAGAGTTGTGAATTCCAATTACTCACTGTTAAATGTCTGTAAACTAAATTACTTTAGTCAGTAATACAGGGTGTTTCTAAATGATGGACCCATTTTTAATGCTTTATAATTTTTATGCTATTGAACTTACCGCTATAAAATACACATCAAACGAAAAAGCAACTCAAAGAGTTTATGCCTTCCAAAGACACATCATTTAACAAAATCGATCCAACAGAACTGTAGATTTAATTGTACAAAGTTAAAAAATAACCTCCAACTTTTTTTACCACTAGAAATTTGGAGGTTACTTGACGTTTTTGCAAATAACTTTTAAATGGTGAGGAAATCGACCAAAGTGGAAGATAATATTCCGAAAGAGAATAAAATTTCCTAAAATCTACTATTAAGCATATCTTGAAAATACTCAATAAATGTAGCCTAAATTTGGCTTAAAATAAAAAAAGTGTGAAATTTAATGTTTGCTATGTTTATTGTCTACATTGAAGACGGGGATTTTCAATTTTTTTGTTATTTTGAGGCAATTTTTGGTACCTTTCTTGAGTATTTTCAAAAAATGCCTAATAGTAAGTTGTAGGAAATTTTATTCTCTTTCGGAATAATACCTTCCACTTTGGTCGATTTCCTCACCATTTAAAAGTTAGTTTCAAAAACGTGAAGTAACCTCCAAATTTCTAGTTGTAAAAAAGTTAGAGATTACTTTTTAACTTTGTACAATTAAATCTACAGTTCTGTTGGATCGATTTTGTTAAATGATGTGTCTTTGGAAGGCGTAAACTCTTTGAGTTGCTTTTCGTTTGATGTGTATTTTATAGCGGTAAGTTTAATAGTTTAAAAGTTATAAAGTGTTAAAACTGGGTCATTCATTTTGAATAACCCTGTATTTTATTCAGTCATATACAATTCATAGACCGTAGTGTAAATTCGTTCACGGATAGACGCCAGATGCAAAGTCGACCTGACATTAACAAGGTTTAGAGCAGGAGTGTTTCCCTTACTTCCATGAATGTTTTATACTCTATGTTTACATGAGCATTCGTGTTTTGCATCTCTATGCTCACATACCGTGTTTTACATTATTTGATATACATGCTTCATGTAATATTATATAATGTGTTTATTTACGTATGAATTAGTTCATGTCTAGTAAATTAGTATAAATTAGAAAAAATAAAACGACACAACGACACTTATGTGATCATTTCTTGGACATCAAGTTCATGATATTAAAGTTAAAATATTAAACACGTTTGTAAAAAATGATCAATAGATAATTCTAAAATTGCTTTTGAAGAACATGACTTTGATATTCACATAGTGCCATTTCCAACAATCAATTTATTTTCCAAAATTTTATACAATGACAATTATAAATAAAAAACTGTGTAAAATGTCAAATCATCTACCTTAACAGATGTTGTCGGTCTTTGTTGATGTGAAAACTTCCTTTTAAATTGAAACAACATCAATGTCAGTTTAAAAGACACATTTTGACGTTATCCTCAATCTACGTGTATCAAAGGTTAAAAGAGAAATTTGTTTGATATACACATATTTCTCTGTAACTGCAATGTTAAGTTTTAAACCCTTCGTGTCATCATATACGTCTTTTATTTTATTTTATTCATATCTTTTCCTGTGGAATATTTAATATTTTTAAGGAAATTGTCCAAATTATGGTCTTGTTGATTACTAACGTCAACCTTTTTAGATGGCATCATTATTTGATAACCCAACAACAAATGTCATCTGGTTTCAGAAAATACATCTAAGCTTTATTCAAATAACGTTTTTTAAAGTAAACATGTACTTGACAGTAACGTCATGAAGTTCAGCTTTGTAAACATATAAACAAGTATAAATAAACATACACTGAAGATAGTTTAACGCCAGGGCATCCGTTGTTTGTTATCCTTTAATTAAGTGAAGTATGGTGTTGTCTTTCACTCATTAAAATCACACACATTTTACTTCAAACCATTGAAATTTCTGTGCAACATTTATTGAATATATTATTTCAAGGCCACCTTAGGATTCTTAAAAATTAATACTCCTAAAAGAGCGTAATGTAAATTGTTAATATCGAGTTTACAAAGCAATATGGTAAATATATTGTTTTGTCAGTACATGATTTGGTTTACATGATTGGTAGATAAAATAATTGACTCTGGATACTGAAGATGATATTTACTTTATAGACACCCTCCTCTAACATAAGGCCGCAGTGAGAAAAAAAGTGGCAACGCCACAATCCCGGCCTACTCAATCAGCTGTTGTATAAATTCATAATGGAGCACATCTACGCAATCTACAGGTTTAAATGAAGAAAAAACTACACACTCCGTAATTGTCTCAACTAAATTAAGCTATTTTCAATTCTATAACCAGCTACAATTTGACAGGAGAATTTCATTTGCAAATGCACGACTACCTCATAGAACTAGGGGTGTATGTAAGAATATAAGTATTCGCAGAGAAGGGACCTTGTATGGTAAAACTGTAATCAAACCTTAATATCAATTTAAGAGTACAAGTACAATTTTTTAGTTTGTTTTAAGTACATCTATATGTGAAGCTGGTACGCAATTCATGTAAAACAACATAATTACATGCTAAATAATCCAAATTTAGGGGAACCTAGTTGAACATTATCTGTACCACCATAAAATCCACACACAGCTGTCTCTAACTGTAAGTTAGTGCAAGATATGAGAATGAAACTAGGATGTTTCACTCATAAAAGTGTATACACTATAACATGGTTTAGTTTCATATAGAAATTTGAGAAAATAATTTTTATTTTATTTTTTGTTGTAATGATTTGAAATTAAAGTTTTACATTCACAATAGTCAAGAGTAGCCTGCAGTAGCAAGACTTCTTGATAAGAAAGCTCTGGAAGCTTCCTTATCACCTGGTCCAGTGCAAGTGCTGGCCCGAGTAGGGGTAGAAGGTTCCAGAACTGAGATATCTTATATAAGGGAGCTGCTTCCATGTGGGGTTGTTGATTCAAGAGTGTAGATGTACAGTGTCCAGACCTGGGGTGAATTTTCTGCAGCCTACTCAATGTACAGTAGTAAGTTTATTTTATTTTTGATGCTATTTTAATTCATTCACTTTTAGCCCTCTCTCTGCTAATTATTGCAATAACAAGGAAGATCATAGATGTTTTCTTATTAAACATTTAAACTTTGCTTTAAACTAGTAAAAGATGTAAATATAAAATGCACCTTTTTATTCTTATAGAATTTATTTAAAAGAGTTAAATTTGGATCTAAAAATAATAAATGCTAATTACAGTAAAGTTTTTAAAGATTCTAGACAGGTTTAGCAATTGTAAAT